TTTCTCAAAGTTTCAAGTATTCTAAAAATAAACATTTTTTTTTWAAAAATGTAGGGTATTGTGGTGTACATCTGTAGTCCAGATATTTTGGGGGCCGAGGTGGTAGGATCACTTGAACCCAGGAGTTTGAGATTAGCCTGGGCAACATAGCCAGTCCCTATATTTTTTTAATTTCTTTTTTTAGTTGCAGATGGACATAATATCTTTATTTTTATTTGTTTATTTTTACTTGGTGTTGGGGATCGAATCCAGGGCCTAACGCTTGTGAGGCAAAGGCTCTACCACTGAGCTACAATCCCAGCCCACAAGTCCTCATCTTTAAAAAAACAAACAAAAAAAAAAAAAGAAGGAGAAGAAAACAGGATAAATTAGTAATTATAATTGATTGGTCAATTATAGGTTTTACTTGGTATTATGTAGAATAAACGGAGTACTCTAATAGCTGATAACAGGGAGAACATCTGTCATTAGCAGACAGAACTCAGACCATTCCTGCATCATGCACCTGACAGATGTCTATGGAGCACCTGCTTTGCATCAGGTATTGTGTCAAGCTGGTAATAGTAAGATGAATGAGATATGGTCTTTGCTCTTGAGGAGCTGTCCCCTAATAGGCTACATAGATACCAAAAGACCCAATCCTGCAGAAACACACACACACACACACACACACACACACACACACACACACCTTAATTTTGGAAAATCCAGACCCACTATTTGACTGAATTATCTAGCTACTTTTTAGTCCTGTTGGTAGGCCAGTGTAGACCCCACCTTGGTGTGGGTCAAATGGTATATTTCTTACATAAGTTGCTGCATGGGGTTACCTAAATTAAAATCTTCACCTGCCTTTCTTCTACTTTTATAGGTAATCACCTGTCACTCCACAAAGCCTGGGGAATCTCTGAGGTGACCTTCAGACCCTGGTGCACCTTATGGCTGATGCCCATAACTCTCCATTGTTATTGGCTCAGAAGGGCAGAATCCACTTCCACTGAGAATGGTGGCAGCTAGGAATCTTTTTTGGTATCTGGATAAGCAAAATATTATGTGAAATGAGGTCAGGCTGGGTGAGAAAAGTGTAGACTCTGACCAAGCTCTACCCCTAACTGTTGGTGCCATCCCTTGACCACTCTGAATCTCAGGGTCACATAGGTAACATCAAAATAAGATGTGGGTAGATCAAATGAGATCATGATAAGTGCTTTGAAAAATAAAAAGAATTATTCAAATTCAAAGTGCTGAATTACTTTTGTAAAATTTGTGAAGGTTGTCGGCAAAAAGAATTTCAAAGTTTTGCTGCTTAATATTTTAAGTCAAGTTGATCAGAAGTGCCATAATACATCAGAGTTGAGTAGAACAAGCACAATTTTTTTTTGTACTCAATGATAGATAACAGAGACCAGGCACAGTGGGGACTTGAAAGTCTGATATAATTCTGTCAGTTGGAAGTCAAGACGTAGATCTGGGTGAGACTCTCTGAAAACTTCTTTGGGACTTCCAATAAAACATGAGGGCAGGAGGGGCATGACATCCCTCTAGCCACTCTCTCCTGTGAAAATGTCCCCTTTTCCCCTTTTCCTATCTTTTTGGGAGGGTACAGAGATTGAACTCAGGGGCACTCAACCATTGAGCCACATACCCAGCCCTATTTTGTATATTATTTAGAGAGAGGGTCTCACTGAGCTGCTTAGCGCCTCACTTTTGCAGAGGCTGGATTTGAACTTGCGATCCTCCTATCTCAGCCTTCCAACCTCTGGGATCAAATGCGTGTGCCACTGCACCTAGTTTCCTATCCCTTTTGATAAAATAATGCTGGCTAGTCTGAGCAACATATTTGAARTCTTTCTAGCATGATCACAAGAACCAGTAACTGAGGATGGCTGCCTCAGCTCTGAGCTGGCCCTTGCTCCATAACACCCAAGAGCCATGTCTCTCACTCTAACAAATGCGGGGAACCCCTCTCCACTGTCACTGGTTCATAACTGCATCACTTCCTGACAGGTGTTAAGGGATCACCCATTACACATCAGGCATTGTAAGACCAGGACCTCCCTTTCTCTACCTTGATCTACCTCAGCCTCAGGAGAAGAATTCTGGTCTAAATCAGCCATGACGATCACGTTCCATCTTGCCAGTGATAGACTGCTCTACATGGGGGTATATGTCCCAGTTCTGGACAATGAGAAATAAGGAAAAGTCTAACTTTCCTGCCCTGACTTAAAGAATTTCAAGAAGAGAAAACTTACTGCCTCTGCCTTGCCTTTTCTACTGGTGTGAGGACATGAGGCTGCAAGGGTAGCATCCCTCTTGCAATTGTGAGGCCACAAACGCAAGGACACAAGGGAAACAAGATCAGAAAGAGGAAGATTCTTGATGATGCCACTGTGCTATATACCCACCCACCTCCTGACTCCTGGGGAGAAGAGATAACCAAATGCTGTTAATGCTTAAACCACTATTACTTGCAGACAATTGCATATGCAAATCACTAAGGAATATAACTTGGCAATATATTTCTATTTTGAATGTGCGTACCTTTTGACTAGATAATTCTACTTATCAGAATTTCTCCCACAGATATACTCACATAATGTTGTAATTAATATATTTAAATATACTTACTTGAGCACTGTGTATGTAACAATATGGTTAAATAGATTATGTTGCATCCCTAAAATGGAATAATACTGACTTCAAAAAGGTAGGCACAGGTCTATGAATACTGGTAAGAAATTATATTCTAGATACATTATGGGAAAGAAGTAAGATTAATAATGGTTGAAGCTGGATGATGGGCACATGGAGATTTGTTATGCCATTTTTCTTATAAATGTATTATGGAGATTTGAAAATTTCCAATATAAAAAAAAACTAAAGATAAGGGGCAGAAACAGTAGTAGGAATAGAATAGAATGACATCATTTGTGTGGATTTTTTTTTTAAAGCAAATACATATATACAACTGGGTGAGAGAGATTTTGTAGTTCATTATCTACAGCTTACTTTTCTGTATGTTTGAACTTTTCATTTAAAAATATGTTTGAAAAATGAAATACTTGTAGTAAGCACTGGGCTATGAACTGGGAGGACATCAGTGAACTAGGAAGACCCCATCACTTCATGGAACAATCTTTGGGGAACTTGTTTCTATTAGGGAATCTCAAATGCAATAAGGCTGTTGCCTCCAGGACCTGTGGGACCCTGTCTCTCCTGTACCCTGCACATCATTGCATATGCAAATTGCACATAATCACTACCCTACCAATGGCCTTGAATTTAGAGGAATTCCCAAACAGTGATACACTAACTAACATGTCAAAAATTAGCTTTGTGGTGGGTGAAGCCCTGAGGTTCAGTTCAGCAAAATTTTCTGGGCACTCAGTGTGTGAATGGCATTGTAAAGGTGCCAGGACTTCAGAAGTGATGATCAATTCCTGTCCTCCACTTACAACCAAGCAGAGGAGATGGAAAGAGAACCCAGCAGGCCAGGGGGAAGGGAGTGGGCAGGGAAAAAAAAAAACAAAAACAAACCAGGACTGGCCTCTTCAATGATGGAGAGAAAGCCCAGCCATAAGGGGAGATTCTGCAGGGACTTTTCCCTGCAGAATGGATGGAGAAGCAATCAGGTGACACAGAGACTGGTGCAAACAAAAGTCTGGAAGAGCCACCCATGTTGGATGTGTGGTCCCTAGTTAGGGGCTGACAAACTTCTTCTCTGAAGGTTTCAAATGGCAAACATTTTAAGTTTCAGAAAACCAAAAGGCAAAATCCAGGATATTTTTCTCTCTTACAGAAGAGAAAAAAAAAAAAAAAAGCTCCACAATTTTTGTTGACAATTTTTGAAACAATTTCCTAATGTCAGAACTACTATTCTTCCCCCACAGATCACCACCAACCATTCCTAGCTCAAGTGCTGTACGCGATCGCGTGGTCATTCCCATCTTCCCATCTACCGTGATCAGGGGTTCTTAACCGGATGGTTTGCTCCCAGCGCTCTCTGCTGTGGAAACAGAATGGGCCTGGTCCGTTTGTTTGCACCTGAGTCCCTGGCTCATCTCTACTCCTTACCAGATGAGAGTTTTAAAGGACGTCACTAACCTCTCTGGACCTGGTTCCTCACCCTGAAGCCCTAGGACGACACCAGTCTACTCCCAGGCTGCTGTGAGGAAAACATGGCCACATTTGGAGCACCGTTCTTGGTAAGCAGGATTACTTCTCTGAGGATGGAGGCTCTTGGTGGTTCAGAGCATCCCCAAGACTTCAGTGTCTGAGCTATTCGGAGCAAGGAACTACATGTAGTCTTGGAAGCAGACTCCTCCTGCCTACGGAACGGGACGCGAGTCTCCCGGGGTGCCAACTGAATCCAACCCGACCTGGGCCAAGGAACCGGGTTCTGGCGCGCCACAGCAGGAGTGGGCGAGGTCAGCACTCCCTCCCCAGATTCCGAGTAGGGCCGCTGGCTACACCACGGGCCGCTCCCTCTAACCCCGGGAGTGAAGTGTCGTCGGGGCTGAGAGCCGGGGGGGAGCAGCGGCCCGCGGAAGTCCAGCTGACCCCGCCGATGGCTGCGGGGGTCCTTGTGGTCTGCAAGACTAGCGGGGACGCAGCCCCAGCCCCCAGCCTGCTCCAGAGAGCCACCCCTCCCGGGAGCGTTCTAGCTGCTAGAAAAAGACGGTCCCCAAAGACTGATCCTTGCGCCACAGGAGCTTCTGGCGGGACTTCGAGGATTTCTCGTTCCTGACAACTGCCCCCAAACTTTCAGGACACATCCGAGGGTGCCCGTGGTGTCAGGCGCAGCCGAGGGTCGCCCTCGAGGTCCGATAAAGCGCGCACCGAGGCCGCGAGCTCGCAGCCGCCGGGCCTTAGCTGCCCCGTGGGGCGGGGCGGGAACTGGCACTCGGGGTGCGCCAGGGCCTGCGGGGCAATTGCGCAAGTTGTGCTGGGGCAGCTATAAGAGAGGCGGGCAGGCATGGAGCCCCGCAGGAATCCCCGGTGCCAGCAGCTGCGAGGTAAGGCCCCCTGAACTACTCCTTTCTCCTCCGCTGGTCTTTCTTGGCAGACCTCAGCACCACTCTGGACACCCGGGAAACTGAGGCAGACAGGAGGCAGGACGGATGGCTTGGTTCTGGACTACATAGCTCTACACCAAGTTTCAGCCAGAATAAAGGTGGCTGGGAGCTGGGGAGGGCTGGATTCGGTGGTGAGTTGTACCGGTGCCCACAAGGCAGGAATCTGTCTTTGCATAATTAGCAGAGCCAAGAAACCATGAGCAGATCCTCTGAGATCAGGGCGCCCTATCTCTATCTGAAAGTAACAAAGTTGCGGGTAAAGACGAGCTTTCAATTTCTGAACTCTGCAGGTAAGAATTTGGGCCTTAGGGCTGGCGGTGTAGTTCAGTGGTCCAGTGTTGCCTAGCATGCACAGCATGGGTTGGGGAGAGAGAGAGATAGGGCCTTATTTTCCAGGGAGCGTCCTGACTTCTGAATGGGAGGGGTTGCATGAGGCCTGGTTTAGGACTAGAACTAGGCAGAATAAAGGGGGATAGAAAAACTATCCAAAAGAACGCAGATTTTCAGAGAAATTGTGTCAGGTCTCACTGCATCTGTTTTCAAAGCCATGCAAATTCCTTCCTTCACGGTGGATACGTGAGGGGTACCTGGGGGACGGAACAGCAGGTCATGGAAAAGGCCTGTCACCTGCAAATTTTTCACTGTTAAACATTGCTAGCCAGAAAAGGTAAATACACACGATTGACAGGCAGGCTCCAGGGGAGGCCCACCAGGTCCACCCACAGCCTTCCTCCCCTTTAGGCTTGATTTAGACTTCACCATGGGTGTGGTTGCCTTTGCACGCCGGTTTCTGTGGCTTCTGTGCGTTGGAAAAGTGACTCTTTAAATACAGTTAGAGCCAATGAGACCAGTGGCCTGTTTGTCATGTGTGAATAGCTGCTTTGGAGAGGACAAGATGATTCATAGTTTGGGGGAAGATGGTCTTCAGGGCAGGGGGCAGAGGCAGGGACTTGGCTGTACCATTCCTGGAGAGTGAGCTCTCTGAGTACCCTTTGCAGGGTAGGATTGCCATCTGGCAGCTCCAGTTGTGTTTGTTTTGTTGAGTTCTGAGGTGGCAGCAGTCAGCTGGGATTGGGATAGTATTCCCAACCTAATTCCCACCAGCAAGGTCTGTGGAACCAAACTTCAATGAGGGAGGTTTCTAATAACGTTGTTGTTCCCATCGGAACACCCTTAGAAACAAAAAAGCAATATTGATCATTTATCTCAGGGAGAAAAGGCAAGGAAAAAAAAAAGATGCTTTTCAGCTTTCTTTTTCAAACAACTGAAGACATTAGGCTGAGGGGAACATTTCCATGTTGGCCAAAGGAGCATCCTTCTCATATTTTGTACATTTTATACCCAAAATAACTCTTCTTGGTATCTGGGGAAAATATTTTCCTCCCCCTCTGTTCTAGGAAATAGCTCCAAGTGCCAAGGACAGAGCCAGGGAGGTTGCAATGAATTCCTGCCATCAGCCCCAGGCAGATGCCTTGCATGTCTGGGTGGTGTGACATGTGAGGCACAGAGGTGGCCACCTAGGAGAACACTCCACACAGAGCCCAGGTCTTTGTCCAGCCCTAGCTTGGATGCCCCAGGGGAGCATGGGCACCAGGAAGGGAGAAGAGGCTCCAGGGAGATGAAGTCCTTGTGGGGTATATATCCCTGAGCAACATCTGTGTGATTTAAAGGAAAATCTCTGGCAGCCAATTGGTCAGCAGACCCCTCCCCACAGGGAGAAGATACTAGCTGCCCCAGCTCCAGTCGTCAGAGAGCCTTAAAATTCTTCTCGGTTCATATGGCTGTCTCAGAGAAACAGAAAGGGAGGTTATTTCTGCTTTAAAATGGCTCACCCAGTGTCCAGATCCACAGAATCCTTTGCTCGTGTCATAACAGATGCGCCTTGCTCCTCAGCAAATTGATGTTCCCCTCTCTCCTGCTCAGTTTGTTAGCTCTCTGGAAATGAATCTATAATCAGTGCCCATGCTGACATTTCACCCACACCACAGAAGATTTAGTCCCCATCTGTGCACACATTGTGTTTGTGCTCTCGTGTACCACAGAGCTCCGCAGGGAAGCCACAGAGAAGACAGGAGGGCAGAACAGAGGTCTCTGGCAAGGGCAGAACGCCCAGAGTGCAGGGGCGGGAGCCAGGTGGTGCACAAGTCTGTGGCTGGGAGCGCTGAGGTACCACAGTCCAGGTGGAATAGAGCTGAGGAAGCTGAAAGACATCAGGCCCTATGTGGATCTGCGAAACATGTAGGAGGTACAGGAAGCAGACCAAGGTGTCTGAGAAAGGGAGACCTGGACACTGAAGCATCTGTCTTTATTTAGAAGGTGTTTCTGCTGGGCAAAAGTGAATTCTAATATGGGAGCAGGTGAGCTTTCATGGTTACCCAACCAAGATCAGGGAGTGGAAACATTTCATTTATTCATTCAACAAATATTTAACAAACACCTGCTCCATGCCGGGCCCTTGGTGGATGCTGGAACAAGTGCCGGCGTCACTAATTGATCATGGCACCCTCTTTCTATGACTCTGGCAGGAGCTTCAGATTCCCCTCTTATTTTTTTAGTTCTCGGCGGACACAACATCTTTGTTGGTATGTGGTGCTGAGGATCGAACCCGGGTCGCACGCATGCCAGGCGAGCGCGCTACCGCTTGAGCCACATCCCCAACCCCAGATTCCCCTCTTATAGTGCTCCAGGGAGCCACCAAAAATTGATCAGAGTTGACACAGAAGTTGAATCCCATTTTTCTATCTCTGATGGGATCAGATCTAAGGGTAGCTCCTGATGTACGGGAATAATATAACCCCTTCATCCATACCCTAGCTACTGGTTAAGTATGTTAGCATGATTCCTCAAATGAAGCCTTTGGTTGCAAGAAGAGAAAATTGCTCTTGCTAGCTCAGTGATTTTTCAAATTGCATATTGTAGCCAATATTTGAAAAATAAACTGAAATGCTCAAGAGTTTGTCACCCAGAGTAAGGGAAAATTTTATTTTTTGACACTTATTTCATATATATTTATATGTCTCCTAAGTGAAAAATATATTCAGAAAAGTTGAAAGCTACTCAAATGTGTTAGCCCACTTTTATTACTACAACAAAATACCTGAGTCTAGGTAACTTTGTGAAGAAAAGAGATTTATTTAGCTCAGTTTTGGAAACTCTAGGGCATGGCACTGGCATAGGCTCAGCACCAGTGAGGGCCCTCTTGGCTGTGTTACATCATGGTGGATGGCAATGGCAGAAGCATGTGCAAAAAGAAGAGATCACATCTCAAAACAGAAAGTCACAGAAAGACTGGGTTCCCACAATTTCTTCTAAGGGTGTGCACTTAATTGACCAAAGGACTTCCCGACAGATCCCATCTCTTAGAGGTTCTACACCACCTCCCAGTACTATTACTTTGAGGACCAAGCTCCCGACATATGAACCTTAAAGGACAAACTACGTCCATACCATAGTATCACCCCCAAGTATAAGTGGAAAAGAGTGTCTTACACTGGAGCCTAAGGGCAGAGAGGGCCACCAAGCCTCATAAGGATCCAGAACCAAAAATGTTAGGAACCAAAAAGAAAAATCAGAAGGAATCCACACAGTGACTCTAATTCACCTCTCAGTAGAGGGGTAGACTCGGCTCTTTCTCAGCTCCTCCATGTACCTGAGTCCAAATGTGACTCCCCTAGGACTTCTGAGCCCTCAACAGAGACAAAGTGAGCTCTCTGAAGCCCTCTAAATTTCTGGGAGAGAAACTGCTCAGTCTGATCATGGTTGGAGGAGAAGGATGAGGAAAGTGGGGAGACAAGAGCTTTTTAGTCTCTTGCCTCCCATTGGTCAGGCAGTTGTAGCCACTGGGACTGCAGTGTAAATGCAAACATGGCACCTGGGATGGGATCGTGTGCGTGCACGTGTGCGCATGTGTGTTTTCTCAGGTAATTCAAATCCCCAGCAGAACCCCACTACATGTGGAATCAAGCCCCAAAAGTCTAACTCTTCAACTTCACACATTCCACCCTTCTAGCAATTCTTCCAAACCCACCATGATTTTCCTGAAGTCTTCAATGTCGTCTGCTATGCCCCTGTTTTAGTCAGTTTTTTTTCTGCTGTGATCAAGAGACCTGATATAAATAATTAGAGGAGGAAAAGTTTATTTTGGGGCTCACCGTTTCAAAGGTCTCAATCCATAGACAGCTGGTTTCATTGCTCTGGGCCTGGCGAAGGGCATAGCAGAGGAAAGCAGCTCAGGATGTGGCACCAGAAAGCAGAGAAAGAGAGACTCCCTTCACCTTGGACAAAATATACATCCCAAAGGCATGTCCTCAATGACCCACCTCCTCCAGCCGCACCTTACCCACCTACAGTTACCACCCGTCAATCCCTGCCAGAGGATTAATGCACTGACCAGGTTAAGGCTCTCAAAACCCAATCCTTTCACATATAAGCTTTCTTGCTTTGTCTCACACAGGAGCTTCTCGGGGACATCTCATGCCTAAACCATAACAACCTCTCCTCTTTCCTCTGAGAAGTCCTTGTCCTTCAGGTAACTCTGTTCAAGTGTTGCCTTCTTTGCAAAGTTCTCCTCACTCCTCCCACCAGGAGTCACCTCTTCCCCTCTCTGCCTCATACTCTATGCTCCTTGCCTCATAACCTCCACCAGGTGGTTATCATGAGTCATCCAAGCCTCTGTCTGTCTGTTCCACTGGACTCTGGGCAACTTGAAGGACCCAAATCCAATCTCACTGTCCTTCTTTGTCCTTTCCCCATCCTCAAGTCCCTTCCAAATTGGAGTTGGGAAGAAAGGATGGAAGGAAGGGTGGGAGGGAAGAATAAAAGAAGGACCCACAAGGAAATTTTGTACAGGGGAGGGCTTAGAGGAGCCAAAGGTTTTTCCTCATAATTCACAGCAAATGCTGAATTAGTAGTTAGTATTTCTAATTATTTAGAACACATTT